AAGATAAAAAGCTTTCGCACAGCAAAGGAAACAGCCAACAAGACTAAAAGACAACCTATGGAATGGGGGAAGATATTTGCAAATGTCTTAACAGATGGAAGGCTGGTATCCAAAATCCATAAAGAACTTATCAAACTCAACACCCAAAAAACAAAAAATTCAGTCATGAAATGGGCAGAAGACATGAATAGACACTTCTCCAAAGAAGACATAGAAATGGCCAACAGACACAGGAAAAAAGGTTCAACATCACTAGGCATCAGGGAAATACAAATCAAAACCACAATGAGATACCACCTCACACTGATCAGAATGGCTAAAATTAGTAAGTCAGGAAACAACAGATGTTGGGCAGGATGTGAAGAAAGGGGAGCACTCTTACACTGTTGGTGGGAATGCAACCTGATACAACTACTCTGGAAAACAGTATGGAGGTTCCTCAAAAGTTAAAAATTGAGCTATCCTACGACCCAGCAATTACACTACTAGGTATTTATTCAAAGGATACACACATAGTGATTCAAAGCGGCACATGCATCCCAATGTTTAGCAGCAATGACCACAATAGCCAAACTATGGAAAGAGCCCAGATGTCCATTGACAGATAAATGAATAAAAAAGATGTGGTGTATTTGTATAATGGAATATTACTCAGCCATCAAAAAGAATGAGATCTTGCCATTTGCAATGATGTGGATGGAACTAGAGGGTATTATGCTAAGCCAAATAAGTCAGTCAGAGAAAGATAAACACCATTTGATTTCACTCATATGTGGAATTTAAGAAACAAAACAGATGAACATAGGGGACGGGAAGGAAAAATAAAATAAGATGAAAATAGAGAGGGAGGCAAACCATAAGAGACGCTGACCTCTAGGAAACAACTCTGAGGGTTGCTGGAGGGGAGGTGGGTGGGGGGAAGGGATAATTGTGTGATGTGTACTAGGGAGGGCACTTGATGTAATGAGCACTGGCCGTTATATGCAACTGATGAATCACTAAATTCTACCCCTGAAACTAATAATACAGTATATGTTAACTAAATTGAATTTAAATAATTAAAAAAAAAAAAAAAGAAGGCACGTGGCTCCTTAATCCATACATTTCTGCTGGCCAACTCTACTTTGTGAGGTTTCAGTGGCTCCTTTTCCTAAGGCTTCTAAATAAGATAATACTTTGATAATAAAATGTTTCTTAAGAATAAATATACATGGGGTGCCTGGGTGGCTCAGTTGGTTAAGCGACTGCCTTCGGCTCAGGTCATGATCCTGGAGTCCCTGGATCGAGTCCCGCATCGGGCTCCCTGCTCAGCAGGGAGTCTGCTTCTCCCTCTGACCCTCCCCCCTCTCATGTGCTCTCTCTCATTCTCTCTCTCTCAAATAAATAAATAAAATCTTTAAAAAAAAAAAAAGAATAAATATACATGAATATGCAATTTAAATTAAGAGATCATAATATGTGGAAATTTCATCTCGAGTGTATAAGGACATTTCTATCAATGGTACTTTCTGTGCCTCATCTTCAGAGGCCAGAGTAACAGCAAAACACAGCACATTTATAGACAATTGCCAGGGGTCTGCCACTGATAAAACGTGTCAATGATTTCTCAGTTGATTCTATGCTCTTTGAAGGGAGGAACTTTGTCCCATTTATTCTGAATGTCTCTTTATCCTTTTAGTACCTAATGTATCATTAGACAGCACAGGCACTAAACATCGACGGAAAAAATTTGTTATCGTATCTCTTTAAATTCTTCCCAGGCCAAAATTTTTGCCATGTGCTCTCTATGGTACAGAGCTTTGAAGCTTCGATGTCTGCAATTTCCAGCGTAAGGCTGGAAAAAAATCCCCAGTTGTTTTTGAAGGAAAACTTTGACTAGGCCTGATATTCTCTGTAAGCCCAATTCTGTTTCATAAGGACGGTGTTTATCACAGTTAACTTGTACTTATTTGTGTGACTATTTGGTGAATGTATATTTCATTCCACTGACTCTATAATAGGGGCAATGCTGGTTTTTCTTTCCCTTGTATCCTTAAAACCTAGCATATAAGTTGGCATGTGCTAGTTGCTCAATAAACATTTGTTGAATAAAAGATCTCCTGTTCAGGCATGTATCTATGTTAGAGCTTTTCCTCTTTATGACCACGTCAAATCTTCCTCCAGAGTAAAGCAACTAAATCTTCCCTTGAACAGAAGCAGTATTAACTTCAAACTCACTGATGCTTAATGCTTTAAGAGAAATACAGTATTAATTTATCCATTTATTCATTCAATCAGTACATATCTGAACTTTTCCTACCACAGGTCAAGCATCATTCTAGATGCCGGTCCCTGCCATCATAGTGCTTGCATTCTATGGGGAGAAGGGAAGGAATAGGACACAATAAACAGTAACTAGTAAGTAGTTAGAAAAAACTGAAGAGGTAAAGGGAGAGGGGCAGAGAATGTTGGGAGGCAGGACATGAATGGGGTTTGCTATTTTCCAGAGTAAACAGAAAAGTCCTCTCTGAAAGGGGAACCCTCCTACACTGTTGGTGGGAATGCAAGCTGGTGCAGCCACCCTGGAAAACTGTGGAGGTTCCTCAAAAAGTTGAAAATAGAGCTACCCTTCGACCCAGCCATTGCCCTACTGGGTATTTACCCCAAAAATACAAATGTAGTGATCTGAAGGGGCACATGCACCCCAATGTTTATAGCAGCAATATCCACAATAGCCAAACTATGGAAAAAGCCTAGATGTCCATCAACAGATGACTGGATAAAGAAGATGTGGTGTGTACACACACACACACACACACACACACACAGGAATATTATGCAGCCATCAAAAAAATGAAATCTTGCCATTTGCAATGACGTGGATGGAACTAGAGGGTATTATGCTAAGTGAAATAAGTCAATCAGAGAAAGACAAGTATCATATAATCTCACTGATATGAGGAATTTGAGAAACAAGACAGAGGATCATAGGGGAAGGGAGGGGAAAAATGAAACAAGATGAAACCGGAGAGGGAGACAAACCATAAGAGACTCTTAATCTCAGGAAACAAACTGAAGGTTGTTGGAGTGGAGGGGGGTGGGAGGGATGCGGTGGCTGGGTGATGGACATTGGGGAGGGTAGGTACTATGGTGAGCGCTATGAATTGTGTTAAGACTGATGAATCACAGACCAGTACCTCTGAAACAAATAATACATTATATGTTAATAAAAAAATTTTTTTAAAGAAAAGAAAAGAAAAGTCCTCTCTGCTAAGGAGACATTTGAGGAGGCCAAACAGTATACTAGAGAAAGGAACGGTAAGTGTGAAGGCCCAGCCTAGAAGGATGGGCAATGTACCCATTCTCTACCAGTGTTTATTAAACTGGGGGATGACATCACCCTTAAAAAACATTTGGAAATATGAAGACGGGTATTCTGAGTTTTCACAATGATGTGAGGTAGGGGTGAGGAGTAAGGAGAAGTTCAAACAACGAATTAAAAGAATTGCTCAGCTCAAAAAAACCAGTGAAATTTTTGCTGGGGATATCAATTACAGCATTATTGGTTTTATTTTCAAATTGCCTTCATTATATTATAAAATGTCGACCAACAAAAAAATTGCATAAATTATGATACAACATATGCAACAGATTTGTATCTGCAACAGAATTGTATCTGATGTAAATTTAGTTTATCCTAATTCAACTATGTAGTTTCAGCCCCACTATTTTCTCCATTATGCTGGTTCATCATCTTTCATACGTGATATAGACTAGCTCTCAGTTTAAGAATTCAGGTGATACTATATACTTACTGACTCCTCTGCCTCATACTGCACAGAAAAATCTTCGATGGGAATTGACATACCTTGACCATTAAATCAATCAGGGAATCATTCTCCCATTCTAATGTGGGAACATTTCCCATTCTCTACTTTCTCTGACAATCATCTCATGTTTTAAGACCAGCTCAAAAGAGACCTCATCCATGAAGCTTTTCTCTCCTTTCCCAGTTGCTCACTTTTTTGTAGTACCATAGCACTAGACTCCTCCTCTCCTTAAGCATGCCTACCAGACATATCACAAGGTTTTTCTTTACCTGCCTGCCTCCCCAACAAAATCGTAAGTTCTTCCAGGGCAACAACTAGACCTTATCCATCCATCTTTGTAGCCCCAGCACCTAGTACAGTGCCTGGTGCTTACCAGGCGTTCACTAAATGATTGTTGAACGAATGGAGAAAGAGTAATTTCCAAGTTGAGCAAAAAGGGGGAAAAAAAGTCGAAATTTAAAATGTACTTAGGTTTCTATCTAAGACCCTAAAAAACGCCTGCATGAGTTAGGCTGAAGCAAGAAATAGGACCAGACGGCTGGTAGACGGAGAAATCAGCATTTGAGGACTTTTTCAAAGTACTTGCTGAGAGGTGTCAATAGACGGTTTTCGACGCAATCCTGTTAAGAGCAAGAGTAAGGGACATGACTTCTTTGATCTTTCCCAACCCTAAGACCCCAGAACTCCCTTAGTCGGCGAGGTATCACTTCGAGGAGCCCAGGTACCCTAGATGAGGCTCTCACCTTCCCGTTGGTGGGGGGCTCCTGGATGTAGATGTTGCTCATGCTGGTCAGTGCTCAGGGCTCTGCTTCTAATTGGGAATGAGAACGGAGGGCCAGTCACTAAAGCTGTCCACCTATCAGTGCACGCCTCCTTCAATCGGGTGGTCGCAGAAAGCTCCAGTTTGTCAACGTCGCCGAGACTACAACAACAAGCACTCTCTCTCCACCAAACTAGTTTCCCACGGACGCCGCCATGTCGCTCCTGGACCAGAGCACCGCTAATCCTGAGAAGGGGGATTCCGATGACCTCCAGGGAAGGAGAAAATATTATTAAGAACGCACAGATTAACTTAATTTGTGTTACAACTTTTAAATGCAATCTACAAATCCTGCTGTTGCTTACTTCAGTACACGTATGTGCGGGTCTCACTCACCTCCCCCCCCAAGCGTGCAGCAATGGTTTGGACCACGTGTGTTCTGTAATATGACTCCCCCGGAAACCGAATCAACGCGACTTGGTTCCGCTATCGCCGGAGGCCTTCCTGGACTGTCACCGAGGTCCCGCGGCGCCGGTGGGAGGAAGAGGCCGCCCTCGCTGCTTGTTGTCCTCGCTGCAGGCGGGAGGCGGGCGTCCTCTCGAAAGCCTACGGCTCCTGCGACCCCTCTTACCAGCGCCATGGCAGTCCCAGGTGAAGACCGACGCCAGGGCCCGCAGGTCTAGGCGAGGAAGGGAGCTGGTAGGGGAGGTTGGGGTGCGCCCATGGGGCTTGAGGCGGGGGCGTGAAAATTAACAGGTTCGTTTGGTCTACATGAAAAAGCTTACACTCCAAAAATAATCTCTGAAGGGAAGAACGAACGACAGAAACTGTCTCCCCACCCAGTCGAGCTCCCGCGGCGCTGGATGGATTACAGGGAAAGTGTGTCGTGGGGGAGGGGGGCCGGGAACCGTAGGCCTAGGGGGCGAGGAGCCGAGAAAAACGGACTTCACTTCGGTATGGCTTGAAAATAGAATTCAGGTGGCAACACTTGACGGACCCAAGTAGCCAGAGGCATTGTTTGTCGTGGAAGTCGCAGGGACGAAATTGACGTCTGGGCTTCTGCTCTCTCTTCCTATTGTACGGAGTTCCTGTGTGGCGGTGGACCGGTCGCTTTCCCCCTCTGGGCCTCTTTTTGTGCATCTGTAAAGGAAGATTTGCTCCTTTATGTCTGTGGTTTCTTCCAGCTCTCAGGTTCTGTGTCCAGTGGGTACCGACCTAAAAACAGTGAACCCTACGAAATAAGTGCTTCAGAGATTTCTGGTCCACAACTACCAGCTTACTTGCAAGTTCTAGTCGGGGAGGGCATCTGCTTACACCAGGTTTGCTGCCATGTCTTCCGAAGAACCCTGGTTGTAGGAGTTATTTTGAGAATTATATCCCTGTGACCCACCCCCAAACCCACAGCTTGGAGATTCACTGTGCTGTTTAGTATATGAAAGACTAAGAAGTGCTATGGTTCAGAAGCCCTAACTTTGTTTTAACCTGCCCCTCCCAGTATTGTTTAACCATGTTTGTACCGTGGCAGCCTTTTCTGAACTATATTTTACGGATCACTGTTATAGGGATATTGCGCTTTTCTAACCACTGCAGTTTTGGGAGGAGGTGGAATTAAGAGAGAGGAAAGATACACTCATTCATGCACACAACAATCTTTATGGAAAGTGCCTACCACGTGCTAGGCGATGTGCTAGGCAGTGCGAATACAGCGGTGAACAAGACAGTTGCTCTTCACACAGAACTTAGAATTTAGCAATGGAGAGGAAGGACCAGAAAGTCAGACCTGTATGGCAGGGAAAATTTGAAGCCTTCAGGAGCACAGAGTAAGGGCACCTCACGGAAGACTAGAGGGGCTAGGAAGATGGACTTCCTAGAGGATGTGGCATTTAGGGTGAATCTTGAAGAATCCCAGGAGGGTTGGAGTGGTGAGAGAAGAAGTTGCAGCCTGAGGGACTGGATATGTAAAGAAAGAGGAAATGTTTGAGAAGAGGAAATAAAAGAAGTAAAAGATTCTCCCTATAAATGGAACTCAGAATACAAATGGGAGAGAAGTGAGAAATTAACTAGGGAGTTAATAACAGTAGCTAATACTTACTAATGTATCAGATGTGTAAGTAGCATTTACTATGTATCAGATGTGTCACGGTGTGTCAAGCATTGTATTTTATCTCATTTAACGTCAGTCCGCACTGTAAGATAAGTATTAATACTTCAGTTTTATATGAGGATACTGAGGGATAAACAAATCAAGTCGCTTGCTAATTAAGGGATAGCTACTAAGTGACAGGTCAGTGGGGCTCTTCTAGGCCCCATGCACTTATTCATCTTGCCATGTTATATAGTATAATTTACAAGGTAGTTTCCACCTCTTAAAGGACCTTGTAAGCCATGACAGTTTGGATATTTTCCCAAGGACTATAGGAAGCCATTTAAGAATTTTAAGAGATTCATATTTTGGAAAGATCATTCTGGCTGTACAGTAGATTGGAAGGGAGCTAGTTTGGAGACAAGGTCACCAATTAGGAGTAAAATCTGGTAAGTTATGATGCTTCAGGTATGGTATCAGGAAAGGAGAGAAGTACATGGATTGGAGATACGTTTTTGATGGTAGACTCACTAGGAATCCGTGATTGATCCAGTGTAGGTGGGTAAGACAGGAAGTGGGGTTTCACTGTTACCAGATTGGGTGGGGCCAGTTACTAGTATAGGCAATACCTGAGAAGGAGCAGGTTTTAGGGGGATGATGAGAATTTCAGTTTGGGGTTTGTGTTGAGGTATAGTCAGACATACGAATGGAAATATCTAATAGGTAGTAAGAGAAAATTTGTAGCTTAGGAAAGAAGCCAGAGTCAAAGACCACAATTCGAGTCATCCGCAGATGTAATAGGAGTTAAGACCATGGTAGTGGCTGCCTGTGCTCAGGTGGAGTGTGTAGGGTGTGAAGGAAGGGTCTGTGGCTGCAGCCTGGAGCTTAACAACCTATAAAGAGCTAGCAGAGGAAGGCCGGTCTGCACAGTAGATTGCCTAGGCGTCCTGAGCCTTCACATCAGCCCTGATGATCCTTGTATTGCACCACTACATCTAGAGTTGAGTTGCTGTCACTGTTGGTTTTATTACTTGAGCAAGCGTTTTGAGATTTCTGGTCCACAACTACCAGCTTACTTGGAAGTTCTAGTCGGGGAGGGCATCTGCTTACACTCTAGGAGACACAACATCACATCTTGTGTTCTCATGAAACTTAAGTATAGTAATAAAAATGGGGTGCTTAAGAAAGAAGAAAAAAAAGTGATTTTTTAAAAGTCCTCAGTGGAATTGCCTTAAACTTAGACAGGTGTTATAGCTGTGTTAACTTTCTTCCAATTCAAAATAATACTCCACAAAGTGTAATAATCTTAAATTGTGCCATTAAGCTAGATGGCAAGACATGGATAGACTGTTTAAACCCAGCAAAAATTGAGATAATAGACATGACAGCACTGTAAGAGTACAATGCAAGTACCATTAGGAAATAGAGATACAGAAAATGTTGAGATAATTTCTTGCGTGATCGATCCAGGTAGTGGATTAAAGAAAAATAGGGCTCCATCAGAAACCTTTTGAGATAATTATTGAGAAGGCCAAGTATTAAGTTACGCTCTTTTATTTTTAGGTATAATGCTCACATGGATTCAGCATGGCATTTCTCGGGTGGTCTTGCTAGTGATTATTATGAGATAAGACTATAAAGTGACGAGGATGCTTTCCACAAGTGAAAATCAGCCTCTTCTGTTTTATGCTCGCCTACTTCAGCTGTTTTTCCACAGCATTATGTGTAAGCATACACCATTATGTAGGGAACACGATGAAATGTGTACTTTCTTAGGGAAATCGTAGACTCTTAGTTGTTATTTTAAAAATGACGTTTAAGGGGCGCCTGGGTGGCTCAGATGGTTAAGCGACTGCCTTCGGCACAGGTCATGATCCCAGGGTCCTGGGATGGAGCCCCACATTGGGTTCCCTGCTCAGCGGGGAGTCTGCTTTTCCCTCTCCCTCTGTTGCTCCCCCGTTTGTGCTTGCTCTCTTCTCCTCTCTGTCTCTCAAAATAAATAAAATCTTTAAAAATAAAAATAAAAAATAAAAATGAGATTTAAATACAGGTTTCAGTGAAGTTGGCTTTCTTTTAGAAACTACTTTGCCCATTCACAGTTGTTGACATTAGTTCTGACATTCATGTTGATGATTCACCGTTCCCCATGAAGAGTCCACCTGACGCCCAGTGGCAGTGTATGTTACTGATGTTGCTGGCACAAAAACTCTTTTTCTCTCATTCAGTAAAATCTATATAGCCAAGATAGGGAATTTTCTGTACCCAAATTAACATTACATCTGGCATATGAAAGTGAGTCGAATTTTTAAAACACATTACTGTAACATCTTAGTAATAGAAGAATTCTAAATCACAATGCATCCCATTGCTTTTCACTCCTAAACAGTACATATTTTCTTTTCTCTGTAGTCTATGCTGCACATTGCTGCTGAAATAATTTTCCTTAACTATATATCTGATCCTGTCATTCCTGGGGAAGGGGGGAGTGGGTGGTAAGGAGTTAGTTCTTGGGCCCCTATCTGTGAATTTCATATTTCTCCATCACCCAGATCAGGATTTTAAATATTTCCATCACTCTAGGAAGGTCCCTTACGCCTTTGTCATTTCCCCCTTCCCTTGCCTAAATAACCATTATTTTATTTCAATTGTCCTTTTTTTAAAATTATCCTTCTTTGATAACTATTATTCCAGTGCCTGTCCTTCCTCAGATGGGCCAGTGACACTGCAGACTAGTTTCACAGCTAGTAACTAGGAGCTGCAAACGTTACTGATTCCCAAGTGCGGGAGTATTTTTTTAAGTCTCTAACCTCAAAGTAACAAGCATTTGTTGAGGACATATAGCAAGGCTACACCATGCTAAGCAGTGCATTGTATACAGAATTGAATGGCATGTTCTGGAAGCTAGAGAAACTAGCTTTTTCTACTCCTTTAAGTTCCTGGGAGGTAAAAGGCAGCCATTTACCTGAGCCCTTCCCTGACACTCAAGTTATTTAACAGAGTTCTAGATCCAGAGTAAGCCCTTGCTAATATTTAACAAGTAAAGAGATAAAGACCTCTGCAATTTATTCCTAAAACCATTGGTTAATAAAATTTTATTATAAATCTGTAACGTAGCTTCTCTGAAGAATTTACAAGTGCAGTTACTGCCTTTGTTAAAGAATCTTGCACAGCAGCAACTCTTCTTTATGTTGGGTTGTTTGAGGGAGGTTTTTAGTTTGGTTTTTGAGAAGGGAATTCATTCACATGCTTCAGATTTTAAAGCTACCAAAAGGTGTGTAGTGACATGTCTCTCACCCTTTCTACCCCTGGAGGTTCTTTTTTCAGCTAACTAATTTATATTCTTAGAGATCTTTTTTGTATCTCTCCATCTATCTATAAATAAAATCTACATATAATTTGTATTTTATTTACATCTAATCTTTCATACAAATGGCAACATACCATAAGCACTGTTCTATACCTTGCTTTTTTTCTTTATATCTTAGAGATCATCAGATATCATTAAGTAAAGACTAACCATAATTTATGTCTAAATTATTTCTACTCTTTTAGTATTATAAATGATGCTGTAGTGAATAACTTTGTATATAAGTCAATATAAATCACTATGCATTTGTGCAAGCAAATTGAGAAGATTCATTCCCAAATGGGGAAGTGCCAGGTCAAAGTACTATGTACATTTATAGTTCTGATAGGTTTTGTCAGTTTGCTTTCCATAGGGGTGATATTGATCTACACTACTATTCAGCACTGTATGGGAGTGTGTCTGCCCCATACTCTTTTCAACCCTTTCTTTGCTATTCTGATAAGGGAAAATGTAATCTCAGTGTAGATTTTAATGTACATTTCACTTATTATGAGTAAGGATGAGCATCTCCATGTTTCAAACTTGTTTCTGTTTCTGTGAGCTTTCTGTTTAGCTCCTTTGCTGATTTTTTTTTTCCTGTTGTTTGTTGGTTTTTTTCATAATGATTTTCTGGGTTTTATATGGTAGGCATAATTGCCCTTTATTGGTGCTATGAGTTGCAAATATTGGTTCCTACATTTTCATGTGTCTTTTGAGTTTGTTTTAGCTGGTCTTTGCCATTTTTTTTATGTAGGCAGTTTTATAAGTTTTTATTCAATGGTTTTAGGACTGTAGGTCATGATTACAAAGGAACATTTGGAGGGATGCAGGCTCTATTACTCTGAACAGCGTTAGCAAACTTTAAAGAGGAATGGAACAAAGAACAGCATGAGAACCTCAGATGGGGAAATGGATAACTTCTAATTGAAGTAATAAGGGCCTCTCAGTATGGCCTTGCTATTCAGTTTGACATGGATCTTGGGTACCAGAGTTCTTGTCCCAAGCAACAGAAACTGACTAGTTAATTGAAGAAGAAAATGAAAGATCTCAGGATGCTCACAGAATGTAAGCAAAGGCTAGATAACAAGGCTTGGAAAACAGACGAGACTAAGGGCATCCATAGCCAAGATGGTGCATAGCCCCAGACCTGGTTAGGAGTGCCACTCTCTGTGGCATCACTGCCACTAGAAAATGCATCTTGACAGGAGAATGAATGAAATGTCCCCACTTCATAGTGTCACTTGTCTCAGATTTATTGTATCAGAGGCATCAGATTCAACGTCCTAGGTAGAAGCATTCATTTGGCCCAGCAGTCATGAAAATTAGGACAAATGAAGCTTGAAATTTTAAGTCAACCAAAAACTAGTGAGGACATAGTTAATACAGAGTTATTTATTTAGTTCTTGTCTTATTGCCCTATCATGTAAAAGTTACAACTTTGTTAAAGAAGATGACCTACTTGGAAAAAGTTAATATTTTGTTCATTCTAAAAATATGAGATACAGTTCGTCATAAATAAGTTAATTTCTCATAAGTGCTGAGATGAGATCATGTCAGATCTGTCCATTACAACATTTTTAGTTTATTGTAGGAATGGTAATGGTGCATTTAGAATAGTTTTGTTCTGTCTCATTCAGCATCTGTGGTTTCTATGGAAACAGACTTAACACTGACCTGGATTCTCTGAGCTTTTTTTCCAACAGGCAATTATTTCATAATGAAAGAGCCTCAGATTTTATTATTAATCCAGTGTTATACCACAATTCTGCTACAGTGCAGCATATGCATTCCTACTCTATGCAATACAAACCACAAGGTTTATGAGAAAAAATGAGATTGGGGCACAATAGTCAAAAACTTCATCAGTGATACATAAAAAATGATAGAAACCTAGTAATAGTAGCACAGTTTTGCACATGTTAATTGGTTAAAAGGCACATAAATAATATAGTAAATAGGGTACTATGCCTTGTAAAAGACCTGGAGTTTGCTGTGGAAGCAGACTTCGTAAGAATTGCAGTTTGTGAATTGTTCCAAAGTAATGGTGGGGGAAGAGGATGATGTGAAATCAGATCAGAGTTATGACACCTTATGTGGGTGGGCACTGCTCACAGCACACATGTTGAACTGAGGTCACTAGAAATATTTTGGGTTGTGTCCTTGCGTGTGTTTTGTATATTCCTATGAACCTCAGAGCAAATGGATACCACTTTCTGCATTCACCTAGTATTTTTCATGGACAAAAGTCACATTATGTTCAAATCGTTCTCTCTTACATCAATTGTATTGGAACAAATTTATGTTTTTAAAACAAGCGTTATAGCACACCTGACTGTATTTTTTACTAGAATAACTCAGTAATGTGTATTTTAAAGTAAATTTGGGATTAGGGAAAAATGACTAGTGTTTTGACTTCATAACAGTGAAGAGATAGTTTAAATTAACACTGTTTTATATTTGCGTTCTATGTACTTTAATTTATTAGTGAGTTTGGGTTATATCTCCATATGAAGAATTTAGAAGTTAGATGCCTTGCATTAAGGTAATACAACAATTCTTTCCTGACCTTCTGGTTGCTGGAAGCCCTTATTGGAGGTGAAAATTAGTTTCAACTATATGTGTTATGCAGCCATAAGAAGGAATGATCTTCTGATATGTGCTACAGTTTGGGGATCTTGAAAACATTATGCCAAGTAAAATAATTCAGACACGAAAGGATAAATATTGTATGATTCCACTTATATGAGATTCCTAGAACAGGTAAATTTATAGAGGCAGAAAGTAGGATGGAGAGTACCATGGGCTCGAGGGAAGGGGGACTGGGCAGTTATTGTTTAATGGGTATAGTTAGTGTTTGGGATGATGAAAGATTTTGGAAATAGTGGTGATGGTTGTACAACCTTGTGAATGTACTTCATGCCACTGAATTCCACACTTAAAAATTGTTAAGGTGATAAATTTTATGTATATTTTTATTACAAAATCAATTTTAATTTATTTCATCTATTATCTTCCAGCATTGCTTGCATGTAGCACTAATCATACAGAGATACTATAAATATTTCTAAACATCGATCAGACTGAATATGTGACTAGCAGTTTGTTTTCTCTTGTCAGAGAATCTGATTGCTGAATTTAGATGTTTCTTAGAATAGCTAGCAGTTAAAGTATTTTTCTGGATTTTCACCAATTCCTTTTAAAAAGTCAGTTTGTTTTTCTTCCAAGGGAGAGCAGAAAAACATTTGTTATCTCTAACGTTCACATATATGTATATATAATAACTAGTATATATAGTGCATATGTGTATGCATATACGTATATAGCTAATTATTTACATTTGAGGGACAAGCTAAAATACTCTGCAATTTCTTCCTCAGTGTTCTAGAATTCCTGGAATGTTTAAGTTCTTGACTATAACACTGCATTTCTGTTAAAGAAAAATATATTCCAAAATTCTTGAAATATTGTCAAAGAAAATAATTTGAGTAAATTGGCTTTTTCAGTGATTTCTAGCATTCATAACAATTCAATGGATAGTGTTACTAATTTGGGTCAGGAATGATTTTTTTTAATTAATTAATTAATTAATTAATTTTTAAAAGATTTTATTTATTTGACAGAGAGAAAGACAGCCAGAGAGGGAACACAAGCAGGGGGAGTGGGAGAGGGAGAAGCAGGCTTCCCACGGAGCAGGGAGCCTGATGCAGGGCTCGATCCCAGGATCCTGGAATCATCACCTGAGCCAAAGGCAGACGCCCAACGACTGAGCCACCCAGGCGCCCCAGGAATGATTTTTTTTTAAAGAAAGAAATTCTACAATAAGAGGTTTCTTAGCTTTTTCATGTGATGAAATTCTTATGTTTCTTCTTTTTATATGTCTCCTAAAATGTCATCCAATTTTATTTCAGGTTGCAACAAGGATAGTGTCCGAGCCGGCTGTAAAAAATGTGGCTATCGTAAGTACATTAAAAAATATTTCAAATGTGAATCATTGCCTCTTTGGGCAGTGTGATCTGGCATCCTGATTTTACTGCCCTGATTTCAGCATAGTTCTGTAACCCTGTTATTTAGCCCAGGTTTGCAGATGATTCAGAAATTGCTGTCAGCTCTGAATGGTTCCTTTCTTCCCTGCTGTAGACTCAGTGACAGGTGGCTATATATCTAGTGACTAGCAAAGATGTCAAGTACAAGTGGAGTAGATTTAGGAGACTGGAGAAAGTATATTCCAAAAAAAAAAAAGGACACATATGCTTAATCTTTTACTCCTTGTCTTTCTAGATACTGGATGAAGAGGGGAAAGCAATGAAAATTATTTATGAAGGGTTTTCCTGTTGACTGAGTTTAGTCCTTTTAAGGATGAAATTAGTCCTAGAATTTCTGCTCACAGGCAAAAGTTGATGTAAACAGTCATTAATGTCTATTATGATCAATGAAGTGGAATAAAAAAATAAACTTTAACATGTGCAATTATGTAGCTTAAATTTGTAATTATGTACCACAAACAAATATCATTTCTTTAGTTAAATGTAACAATTCCTGAAGTTGATAACAGCGAGAACAGTATCATTTGTTTTTTTATAAATTGGAGACCATGCACATGAGCCTGGATTATGGTTAATGCTCTATATAAAATTAATTAATTTACATAGAAGTATAGTTACATTTGATGCACAATGTTACATGAGCTTTAGATGTGCAACATAATGATTTGTTAAGTTTATACTTCAGGCTATGCTCACAAGTACTACCATCAGTCACCATATAGTGCTCTTTTATTTGACAGAGAGAGCGGGAGAGCAGGAACACAAGGAGGGGGAATGGGAGAGGGAGAAGCAGGCTTCCCGCCAAGCAGTGAGCCCAATGTGGGGCTCAATCCCAGGCCCCTGGGATCATGACCCAAGCCGAAGGCAGACACTTAACTGACTGAGCCACCCAGGCACCCCCAGAAAAGTTATTTTTAAAAAGATAAATGTGATGTAAAAAAAAGGATGTCCTTGCAAGAACATGTGATAAGAGAGCACTCTTATCATAAATCTTCATTAAAAGGGCTCATAATGAAAGCATGCTGAGAGTACCAAGTCACATTCCTCCAAGCAAAGGCTGAAATGTGGCACAAGGAAATCTTGCTCAGTTAGCAAAAGTGAGCAATAAGCATACATAGCCTTCACTTAAATTAAAACTCCTGAAGAATGTACTTTCATGCAAGAAATGGCTGCAGTGAAATCTTTTCTGTGTTTTAAACTTGTTTATATTTATTTCTGCTTTGTTTCCTTTCTTTAAATCTTTGCTAATTTCCATGTTTTGTTTCTTGATTTAAGACTTAAGAACCTGCTCACTCATGCTCTCTCTCTCTATATGCTGTTTTATTTACTTCAAAATCTAGAATGGATTTTCCAATCTGTCTATAAATACCAGTTTATCTACTTGGACTTCTTTTTCATTTTTAACTTAAGACTTGTAAGAAAATAGGGGTGCCTGGGTGGCTCAGTCGGTTAAGCATCTGCCTTCCACTTGGGTCATGATCCCAGGGTCCTGGGATCAAGCCCAGCATCAGGCTTCTTGCTCAGCAGGGAGTCTGCTTCTCCCTCTCCCCCTGCCTGCCGCTCCCTCTGCTTATTCTCTCCCTCTCTATCTCTGTCAAATAAATAAATAAAAATCTTAAAAAAAAAAAAGACTTGTAGGAAAATGATAAAAATAATTTTTTGGAAATACAGTATTTGTTGATCTAGTCTCCTTACTGCTATTTTATTTTAAACAATGATGGAAGTATCTGTAGTAATTAGAATTTTTTTTAGAGAAGCCAAGTAAGCAGATAGGTTTGGCAGTCTTTCTAAGTTTAGTTCCTTCTGCTTTATTATTTTAATCTATTATTTTAGTGATTAAGTTATTAAATAACTTCTATTCAGTAATACTTCCCTTCTGGGTTAAACTTACATCTTATACCTGTTAAAAATGAAGGTCTTTTGAATTTACATGTCTTTCTGATAGAAACTACATTTTAAAAATTACCTGTTATTTGCAGGCCAGAATTTTTGTATTGATAGTAGATGTAAGAGAGAAGTCCACAAAACTCTTTGAAATGTTTTTAATGCCTAAAAATGTGCATATTCATCATTCAGTTACAAAAGAGTATTGTCTCTCTAGTGTTGTGAAGCTAATGGTTTAGGTTGTACTGTTTTAAAAATTTTAATACTTGATTGAAAAAGATTTTATTGTCAGTATGTTTCAATAGTGTTTATATTATTTTTAAAAGTTTCAAGTTAAGGATGAATGTGTTACTAAATAACAGGGATGTCACTTTTTCATGGCAATTTCCTCAACAAAATAAGAAAAATTGTTATTTCTATGATAAGTTTTTGAATTTTTTTTGGAGTTGGCAACTTCTGAATATTTAAAAGCTACAAGAACACTAAGCCTTTTTCCATGGAATAAATTTCTCAAATAATTATGATAGTTCTCAGAAAATAGACCTTTAAAAAGTTCAGTATAGTATACTCAGTGGTTGAGCATTTGATTGTAGCAGCAGGAAATAAAAACATACCTAAATACCTTTAATGTTTTATTTAACTTAAAATGCTAATCTATTGATAGATATTCATGACCTTTTCTTTGCCTGTGGGTCTGCTCATTATTGTTTCTCATAGACTTTTAAGTGCAAATATCTGAAATGCATTTCCTACATTTTATAGTTTGTTTTTTCAAAGATAAGCAAGCAGTGAAAATAATAAATCTGAGTGCAAAATCGTTTTATCATTTGTTCTCATTAGTGGTAATACTGGCCCCCTGGAAATCTGTGGCCTTTTTTTTTTTTTTAAGTTGTCCATATCTGGTTGAGGGCAACAGTAGGACATTTAGTATGTAGGGTGTAGTGATTATAAACATCCTGTGATGTGTAGGGCAATATTGGACAGTGTAGAATTGCCTGCCTCAAAATGACAGTGGCACCCCCTTTGAGAAATAGGTACTTCTTCTCATTGTTTTAGATTTTATTTCTCTATCTTGTACAGTCTTGTTCCAGTACCTAATTTGAAAACTGCTTTTAAAAATAATTCATTTAAATCAGGTGTTTCTAAAAGTACAACTTTGTTGTATAGAAACAACCACTCTTTTTTGCCCCACGTTCATATTTTTGGACTTACATGATTTTATATAAGCAAACTTACATATAACAATAACAAATAGGTCATGAAGCAAACTATGCAGATTCAGGCCTGTATGGGGAGGGATAAAAAAGTGGAGAGCCTATATAGTCTCCCATTTCAGGAAATTTGCATGAGAAAAGTAAGGAACTGTCTTAGTCCTTTTGGACTACTATAACAAAATACCATAAGCCCAGTAGCTTATAAACAGAAATTATTGCTCATCAGAGGCTGTAAGTCCAAGCTCAGGGTGCCAGCAAGTTTTCCAGGTCATAGATTTTTCATTTTATACTCACATGGTGGAAAGGACTAGAGATCTCTCTGGAGTCTTTTTTTATAAGGCAGTAATCCCATTCATGAGGGTACTACCCTCAGAACCTAATCACCTCCCAAAGGTCCCATCAACTAATACCATCCTCTTTGGGGGTTAGAATTTCAGCATATTAATTTTGGAGGGGACACAAAGATTCAGGTCATAACAGGAACATATTCAATACAATTAACCCTTGAACAACGTAGGTTTGAACTGCACAGGTTTAGTTTTAAGTCTTTTTTTTTTTTTTAATACAGTACAGCAGTAGAACAGGAATCACCACGTATCTCCCCCTCCCCACCTGCACTTAGCCACGGTAGATCCTAGTCTAATACCCATTTCTTGCTCCTCTTCTGGTAATGTGGAAAACCTCATTCCACGTGGAGTCCAGGGAAGGTAGATAACTAGGGAAGTCAAAGTACCCTTACCCTTCTCTCTAGGTCACTTGTGCCACTTGATCCCCTTTATGTGGTTCTAATGCAGTTTTTGTTCATGGAAAATGCTGTCAAGGAGTAAGCTGCCAGTTCCCGTGTAATATTAGCTACCCTCTTCAGAAAATGTTCAGCACCTTGGACAGCGCCCCACCCTACTGAGACCCAGGCTTCTGTCTGGTGCTGTCCTGCCCTTGGTGTCCTCCTGCATTCCTTGGTTGGGGGTTTGGGGGTAGGTGGGTTATTATGTGGTTCTTGGTTACTTCAGCAAGAATCCTTCCCCAAGAGCCTGTTTCTTGCACCTCCCAGTTCAAGACCTCAGTGAACTGAGTTTCCCACAAGTAGTAGGATGGAGAGTGCCAGGAGCAGGCAAGAGCCCTGGTGTTACAGCCTTCTCTGGAAATTTCCTCCACCTTTGCTTTGTTTTTCATCATGTGGTGACTTTTATCTTACTTTTCTATCACATAAAATACAGTAGTTCAGTTTTAAGGGAGCCAGAAATTATGTGTGGATTTTTGACTGCCTGGAGTTCAGTGCTCCTAACCCCTGTGTTCAAGGGTCAACTGTAATTCCTGGAAGAGAATTTGGGATAAACGGAGGGTTTTATATTTAACATATAATGTGTTTATATAGACTGAGGGGATATAGGAGATGTTTCAGATACTGGAGACAGGAGAAGATTAAGCAATTTCATCTAAGAGTTATAACAAGGATATTTCTTAACTTTGGAGGAAACTAGGTGAGAATAAGTACAGATATTTTCAGGTATGGAGACAGAAAGTAGAAGGAGATGCTGTCTGGTAAACTTAGGAGGCAGAGTTGGCTGTTTGGAAAGGGGGCATTGAGTGGGACGGGAAATTGGTTGAACAATAATTTAAGTCAGGCATACGTTTGGAAAAGTCACCGAGGAAAATAGGACAGACCAAAAAAAATGAAATGCTTTGTGTCTGTGCTAGCATTCATGGATGTGTGATTGTGCTCAAGCATTGCTTGGCTGCTCGGGGATAGGCACAATCCAAAGGTTAGCTTTGAGCCAGAGTATTTGTTTTACAGTGAGATATGATAGAAGAATA